AGCCCAACGCCGCCCTGCCCTGGCACCCTATAGCCCAACGCCACCCTCCCCTGCGCACCCCTAGCCGTACGCTACTCTCCCCTGCGCACCCCTAGCCCAACGTCGCCCTCCCGCACGGGAGAGTAGCGTACGGCTAGGAGGGCCCAGGGGAGGGTGGCGCTGTGCAGGGGAGGGCGGCGCTGCGCGGGGCGGCGCAGGGGAGGGCGGCGCTGCACGGGGCAGCGCAGGGAAGGGTGGCGCTGCACAGGGGAGGGTGGCGCTGCACGGGGCGGTGCAGGGGAGGGTGGCGCTGCGTGGGCCGGCGCAGGGGAGGGCGGTGCTGCGCGGCACGGTGCGGCGCAAGGGAGGGCTGTGCTGCGCTGGGCAGGGCAGTGCTGGCGCGGGGTGGGGCGGGAATCGGAACAGGGCAGAGGTGCCACCCACCTTCTTGTGGGTCTGGGTTCAATTCCCAGCTGTCCCTTTATGACCCATGATACATACACACATATGTCCGTGAACACATGAGCACACTGGCAGAGGGCACACACATACAAACACAAAGGACGGAGGGAAGGCCAAGGGAGAGCAGGGAACAGCAGAGGAGAAGGGCAGAAGGGATTTAGGGTTTTAGGGATCCCTGACGTCACCATCCCCACTGCTGCCATTGCCGCCATCGCTATCCCTGCCATCACAATTGCCACTGTCGCCATCCCTGCCATGGTGATGGCGACGGCGGCAATGGTGATGGCAGGGATGGCGATGGGGGGAACGGCAACGGTTGGTGATGGAGGGGATGGGGACAGCGTCGCCATTGCCACCGTCACCGTTCCCCCCATCGCCACTGCCGCCGTCGCCATCCCTGCCATCGCCACTGCCACCGTCGCCATCCCTGTCATCGCCACTGCCACCGTCACCGTTCCTGGCGACGGCGGGATCAATGGCGATGGCAGGGATGGCGACAGCGGCAATGGTGGCAGTGGGGATGGCGACGGCAGCAATGGCGATGGTGGGATCTGTCTGTCTGTTTGTCTTTCTGTCTATGTGGTTCGGGACGAGAGGTCGGGTCGAATCACATCGGGTAGAATCGCAGGCAGGACTTCGAAACTGCTGAGTCCTTTTCCGGTCCTTCTCCGGCCACCTGCGGGGAGATGTACCACTTCACAGTAAAATCGTTATGGTCTTAAGGGACGGGACAGCTATACATGCAGCACTAGCTAGAGTTCGATCCTGGGTTCTTAGATGAAATCATGTCCCCATTAAACACGTCTCCTGTGGCAAATATTTACTTCATTTCGTTGAAAAGCCAAGCTTGCTATATTGCATCCCCGTTTTCGCATTCCCACGACACTCTTGCTGCGTCCCGCCGTTGCCGTACATCGCAGCCGGGCATCTGGAACCTGACTCTTTCCGTACGCCGCTTAGAGGCTGCGGACGGCACCTTCAGCGCCACCATCGCCACGTGGACGTCCTTGCTGCCGGCGGCGGCGGCGGCTGGCTCCCAGGACTGCTACCCCCGCGTCCTGTACGGCGCTGCACACCTCACCTCCACAAGTACTACAAGCAATAGCACGTCGTATATTGCCGTACATGGCGGCCTTACCTCCAATGACGCCTCGCTGTGGGCGGAGGCCTCCAGCTCGATCTGTGTTTTGGAGCTGGCGGCCAGCGGCACGACGCGGTGGCTGAGGCAGCCGCCGTGGGCGGAGGGCTTAGCGCCGGGGGTAGGTGGCTTGGATGTTGAAACCTTGTTGGCTACATGTCGGTTGGATTTTACAGGTGGTTGAGGAGTTGGTTAGGTTTAGGAAAGTGACAGTTTCATAAGTACGGAGGGCCGGACGGGGTGTCTATTGCTGCCGCCGCAGGGTGTTGTTAAAAGTTAAGGGCGACAAAGAAGCCTCTGCCCTATTCACCGACGTCGCACGAGGAAGGGAGCATTCCGATTTCTTTCCAAGTCGATCCCAGATGACCAAGAGCAAGATGACAAGATGACAATCGCATTTCATGTTGCATAGTCTG